GCACACAGCATAAGGCAGACTGGCAGGCAATGGTTAAGTCCAGGGAGCACACAGCATAAGGCAGACTAACAGGCAATGGTTAAGTCCAGGGAGCACACAGCAGAAGGCAGACTGGCAGGCAATGGTTAAGTCCAGGGAGCACACAGCAGAAGGCAGACTGGCAGGCAATGGTTAAGTCCAGGGAGCACACAGCATAAAGCAGACTGGCAGGCAATGGTTAAGTCCAGGGGGCACACAGCATAAGGCAGACTGGCAGGCAATGGTTAAGTCCAGGGGGCACACAGCAGAAGGCACATTGGCAGGCAATGGCTAAGGCCGAGGCACACAGCAGAAGGCAGGTGGGACAGAACACATGCAGAGAACAGTGGGGCACACAAGGCTTTTATTGAAAGATTTTTGCAAAACAAAAGTTAAGTCCGTACCACAGGGTGGGAAACACAAGGAGCACACAACAGGGCGGCAGTGTGGCAGGCAATGGGTTAAGTTCTGGGCACACAGCAGAAGGCAGACTGGCAGGCAATGGGTTAAGTTCGGGGCACACAGCAGAAGGCAGACTGGCAGGCAATGGTTAAGTCCAGGGGGCACACAGCAGAAGGCAGGCTCTGGCAGGCAATGGTTAAGTCCAGGGGGCACACAGCAGAAGGCAGACTGGCAGGCAATGGTTAAGTCCAGGGGGCACACAGCAGAAGGCAGACTGGCAGGCAATGGCTAAGTCCAGGGCACACAGCAGAAGGCAGACTGGCAGGCAATGGTTAAGGCCGGGGCACACAGCAGAAGGCAGACTGGCAGGCAATGGGTTACGTATGGCTTGGCTGTAGGGTCTGGCCGCAGCACAGAACCTCTCACAGCACCCTGGGTTGCGAGCAGGGGAAGATACCTGTGCCAGGGTCCGGCTCCGGTCTTTTATCTCCGGGCCAGGATGCTCCCAGATTGCCAGGCAACGGAGGCCCTGATGTCGAGTTGCCGTGGAAATAAGCCCCGCCCCCTCAATCTGCCCACGTACAGGGAGCGCAACCTTTATCTCTGGCGGGTGCAGAGCACGGGTACATCAGGGCCGCACTGTGCCCGCCGAGACAAGGGGAGGGGGGCACGCACGCAGTGACATGCAGGCGGCTTGCATGTGGGAAATCCACATGCAGGCACAGTGGGGCTGCAGAATTTCCCACTCTGGTGTGTTGCGTTAACGCACATGTGTGGTACCTTGCATTGCATTAAGGCAGCATATTTTTTTTTGCATGGGCTGGCAATACACCAGAACAGACACAATACATAGACATGAAGGGGTACTACTTTTTTTGGAGTCCCTTTGCCTCTAAATGTTATTAAAGAATTTAAAAAAAAAGTCAGATATAAAAGATAGAAATTAATGAAGATCTATAATCAATAATACATGATCAAATATAGTTTTTGAACCCTTCGAGCCGACCGTATGCAAATATGCAGCCCCACTGGACTGGGCTTTTTTTCATGTAGCTGCTAATTTGCGTACCTGTCTTTGTGATAGGAGCGCGCCACACACCATACTCCCAGCACAGAGACCGGGGTCTCACTGAAAGCCCTGGGTCCCGTTCTAACAATCAGGACCCAGAACTCACGATTCTGGGTCACCTGATCGCTATAATATACTCTGATTGGCCAACACAATGATCAGTCACTGTGAAGCCTGCCCTCGTGTTTTCTCTCGCTAAATGGAGGAGAGAGATACATTGTATCTCTCTCTGGCCTTTCAGAGGGAAAAAAAACAAAACAAGTGTGTGTGTGTGTGTGTGTGTGTAAATAAATAAATAAATAAAATAATTAAAAAATTTTTAGTAAAAAAAAAACTAGATTAAGGTTTGATTTGGGTCAGTGTCGGGGTTAGTGTTTAGGTCAAGTTCAGGGTCAGTTTTCTTTTTTTTTTGCTCAATTAGTATCAGTGTCAGTTACTGGCAGGATAAAAAAAAAAGCAAAATGCGCTTTATTGTTTCTGGGCTGTACTATGGATACAAACAACAACTAACACACACATATGTGGTATTGCTGCAATCATCAGGAGCAGAAAAAAATTATTTTGGGTTGTTCTTTGGTGGTAGGTTATGGTAGTAACAAGAAATATACAGCTAAATGTAAAAACATTTTTTTTTTTTTTTACTACATTGGGTCAGGTTTCCTTGGATAATAAAAAAAAATCTGAAGATATCCATTACCATTTCCCACCAAATGAAAGCCCAATTTGTCCTGAAAAAAACAAGGTATAATCCACCTGGAAGCACAAAGTAGTTATGATGATATGTACAGTTTTGCTAACACATGTCAAATTTGCAAAATTGTGCTTAGGTATTAAGATTTGTTTTACCCTTAGGCGCAAAGGGGTTAAATTCAAGCTGTGTAAGTACCTAAATTTGAGCTGGTATCTTCTTCTTACTATCCCTATACAATAGGGCTGGAGTGTGAGAGGAAGAAGTGGCACAAGGAACCATTTGTTCAAATACTGACAAGAAGCATGTTGATAGGTGGAGAACACAGCGAGTGACAGAAATTATTTCAACACTGCTGCTTCTCTTTTCCCTGTCCAGTCACAGGCTGGGGCAAGACTAAGGCGACCTTGGCTCAGTGGAAGTGGGTTGACTGTTGCTGGTAATCAGATTGAGGACATCTAGTTTCAGAAAAAAAAAAAGTATTGTGAAAGAAAACTCTGGATTGAAGGTGAATATGGAAGCAAAGGTGGTTTAATTTTTTTTTTTATTTTTTAATAGGCTTAATAATTGAATAGCCTTATCTTATTTATCTACATATTTTTGGCTGGAGTTCTACTTTAAAATATTGTGTGACCACTCTTCCTTTACATCAATTCACAGATACAAATAAAGGAGGTAGGAACAGACACAGCTTTACTGACTATAAATAAAGTGGGCCACAAGCAACATATTCATTTGGTCCCCTGTTTAAGAAATATAATAAAAAAAACATGGCCTGTTTCAGAAATGGAAACATAATGTTTAAAACATTCTTTTTTGAAAGCTAATTCCACACAAAATCTGTGTTTCAGTTACAGATGGACTTGGCCAGACCAAATATGAATCAATCACAGATTTCGAAAAGCTTAAGTACAGGCAGATAATAAAAATTGATTGTGGAGGGGCTGCCTCCTGCCTCCATGGCTTCTGTCAGACAATGCATTGGGATCCAGCTTTTTCCTGAAAAGAATTATGCTGTTTGACCCACACCTTGTAATGGTATTCTGTGGCACCTTGATACAATGTGAGGAAGCACTGTCCTATACATATTCCTCACACCCAAGAGACATTTCCCCCAAATCTCCTGAAGAAGCAGATCAAACATTTGTGAAACTCATTGAGAAAAGTGACCCTTTCATTGGGTATTAAACCTCATTTCAGAGATGCGTGATGAACAATGTCTGGGAACCTGCAAATGTGTAAACTTGTGTTAATTGGTGAGAAATATAAGGCATGTATATGGGAATGTATCTTTGTAATGGTGATGTACTTTTATAAGTGTTGTTACTAATGCTGCTTATGAATCTTTACTAAACTTTTAATCTGTGAAAAACAAAATGATCTGTTTAATAAATGTATATATATGCTTAACTTCATGGCAAAGACTCAAGTTTTTTTTCCTTCTGTGTGCAACTCCCCCCTCTCCAGCTCCCCCTAATACTTACCTGAGCTCCATTGTGATCCAACGATGTGCACGAGAGCCTTGGCTCTCCAGGGACTCTCCCCTCTCATTGGATAAGACAGCAGCAGGAGCCAATGTCAATCACAGCCAGTGAGCTAAGGAGAAGAGAGAAAGGGCAGGGCCGAACCACGGCTCTGTGTATGAATGAGAATGCATGATTTGAACACACATGTTCCTGCGTTTAAAGATGGCTGTGTGTGTAAGTTAGTGCTGCAGTAACCATCGAGAGTAGTCAGAGGAATAAAATGTCACCAGCATACCAAGAATCTTCAAAATGAGTCCAAAGCTTTATTAAGTGATCACATAATTACAGCAAGAGCAATGTTTCAGAGCCTCTCAGGACCCCTTCATCAGGCATATGATGATAACTGATAAAGGGGTCCTGCGAGGCTCCGAAACATTGCTCTTGCTGTAACAATGTGATCACTTAATAAAGCTTTGGACCCATTTTGGAGATTCTCTGTGTGCTGGTGACATTCCTCTCCTCTGTGTATGAGTGGACACACAGAGCAGCAGCTTGGGAGTGAGGCTGCTCGGGTGCCCCCATAGCAAGCTGCTTGCTCTGGGGGCACTCGGTAAGAAGGACGGGCCAGGAGGAGGATCAGGGCTGCTCTGTGCAAAACCATTGCACAGAGCAGGTAAGTATAACATGTTTGTTATTTTAAAAAAAATTGCCTTTAATATTACCTTAAAGTGTATTTCCACTTTTGCCCTTAATTCTGGATAATGCCTATTTTATTTTTGTTACATGTTTTCATTCACATAGGATAACTTTAAAAAAAAGGTTTTATTCAACATTTGTTGCTTGTTTTTTTACTTGCTTTTACATTTTACTCCTAAACTTAAATTTTCCTGTTAAATGCAATGGGGTTGGGGGGAGGGGAGTAATGGGTACCATAATTAAAAATGTCTGCATTGTGCTGGCAAATCTCCATTATCAGCTTTAAACTAGATTTGAACACTGTGGGTAAGATTTACTAAAACTGGAGCATGCAAAATCTGGTGCAGCTCTGCAAAGAAACCAATTTTAGTAAATAACCCCCTACATTTAATCAGGCTTTTGCACTAGTTGTATTTTAAAAATGAATTGTAATAACTCATGAATAAATCAATGCTGCATTCGTATGTTTCTTTTTTATATACTGGAGTATAGGTAGTGCAGTATAGAATCATTTTGTATAATGATCTGCCTCACATGGTAAATACCCCATGTAGTGGTAAACAGAATCCCTAGATTCTCATACAAAAAATTACTATAAATGCAGCAGCATACTGAACATTAACAATTAGTCCTAGTTATAATAATGAGTGATAACTGACTGCTTTTTATTCCTTCCCTTACAGATTTAAAGATGAGCTATTTGCTGTTTGGAGTAACTGCCCTACACATCGTCATCTTGATCATCCTCTTTGTTGCCACCCTTGACAATGTAAGCAAGAATATAATGTAGTCTATTCAATGAATCCATATGAAGACACAAGTTGAAGTAAAAGTATGAGAAATTATTAGTGACCTGCCCAATCAAAAAAAAGGTTGGAAATGCACAAAATATAGATGCCTGTTAATATTTATTACAAATATTACTGTACTGTAATGGTGAACCAGGGAGTATATGATTGCCTTCGGGGATCAGGAAGAAATATTCCCTGTAACAGAAAACTGGACCACACTTTATAAGGGGTTTTTTACAGTTCTTACCGTTTTAAAAGTGCAAGATTTTTTAAATAAATTTATTCTGGTCATTCAGTTCAACTTGATGGATGTGTATCATTTTCCAACCTCAGGCTGGCCATACACTCTTTGATTTCTCTTGTTCATCCATGGGGCTAAACAGCAATGATGGATGAATCTCCCCCTACTCGTTTCGGAGCATGCGCTGGCCGTGGAAGGCAGAAGTGCGCTCCATCTCCCCATGCTTGAAAAAGGAGCGCCCTTCCACGGCCAGCGCATGCTCCGAAACGCGTTGCAGTGCACCCTGGGTATCTGACGTCATCACGGCCATGCCGTTCCAGCATGCGTTCCACCAAGCTCAGAGGGAGGACGTGCACGCCGGCCGGCTACCACGCTGCTCCAGCGGCAAGCTGACCGCTCCACACCTCAGCAGATGATGGCTCTTCACCCTGGAGACCACCTTACTGTTTTAGCACGGTTTTTATGCCTATATATCCTATCTATGTGAGTGTTCCTACACATATAGAGAGACATATTGCACTTAGAGGCGCTTCTCTCCTTCTCTCATCCACAGAGTCTGCTACAGCCTATTTAGAAGCTTTGCCCTCAGTGCTATACGGACCACCATTACCCCTAACTATATTACTAAGGACTCTCAGCAGTGATTGCGCTGATACACCCCCCCTCATTCCTTCTTACATAGTTTATATAAGCCTGATCTTATGGGTGATGATGCTTTCACAATAAATGAGTGAAAAGAAAAACCACAGGAGTGCTGGTGACATGTCCTATAATATTGGTCAGGTCCTGCAGAGAGCACAGCTTTGACACAAACTTTAACTTTTCAACCCAACTATGTAACCATATATAGAGTAGATATGGAAAATTCCCCTTATATGCTAAAACAATAAAAGCCTGACAGAGGTTCTAACCTACTTTTTTTGCTAGGGATACTGCACTAAATATTCATCTCTTGGAGGAATGTTTAAAATAATTCATCTGACATTTAAGGTTCAGCCACAGCTTGATAGTATTGAGGAAATGCAAGTTAAAGTAACTCATGTAAAAATACCCTGTATAGAATGTCACCTTCAATGAAAGTGAAATTACAGTTAAGCCCCTGTTTGCTAGTTGATTGTAACATTATTCCCATGATCAACTCAATAACTGAGCCTATCCCAATGGAGGCAAAGCTGTACAGTACCCTAGTAACAAATCATATGTTATAGGCACTACCAGAGGCAGCTCCAGACTTTGTGAGGCCTTAGGCAAAACTTAGACATGAGGACCCACTCACAGCCATAATGGAAAAAATAATTCAAGCGATAAAAATTAACTGGGAGATGGGTTAGGCCAGCTTTTCTTATCCAGGGTGCCCAGACACCCTGGGGTGCCTTGAGATTTCTTCAGGGGTGCCTTGGCAAAATGTCTAAAAAATTCCCAAAACTTGTATACAAACCAGCAGGTGGAATGAGCCTGCCTTTTAGTTACACAAGGTCACAGGTTTTCATTGTGCACCATTATGACCTTCTAGCTGATGGTGTCTTGACAACCAATGACATCATCAGTTGATAAGGAGAATGTCAGCTGCCTGCACAGCATCCTAGTTTGACCCTCCCCTGCCCCTCTCTGGTAGTGCTGGAGTCACATTAGCTCTGTGATGGAGAAAAACTGAGGGAGAAGAGAAACACTGGCATACTAGTCAGTACCAGCGTGCAAAGGTGTATTTGCTTTGGAAAAATAAATCACCTCTAATGTTGGGTGTCCTACATGTGTGGATGTTACTATATTATATAAAAACTATTAGAATAGTTGTTCATTTTTTAGAATGTGGTGCTCTTTTAAAATTATGGACAGCCTTGAGGCACCCCATTTTAGAATGGGGTGCCTCAAGACTGTCCATAATTTTTGCAGAGTGCCTCGGGACTGTCCATAATTTCAAAGGGTGCCTTGACTGAAAAAAGGTTGAGAAACACTGGGTTAGGCAACCATTATTGATTCAGGAGTGGGGCTAACAATTTAGGTGTGCTGTAACCTGTAACTCCCCCCCAATGTGTTAGGCCGGGGAGGGGTCGATGGAGGGTGGAAAAAAGTCAATTGCAGGTTTGCAGCGTCTCGGTACATACCAACCCTAGGCGGAGACATGAGATGTCAACCACTGCACCTCTCTGACTCCACTAACCCCTCATCTGCTGCACTGATAATACTGTTCTGTGGAGTGCCCTTCCTGGTAGACCCAGCACTGATAACACTGTTCTGTGGAGTGCCCTTCCTGGTAGACCCAGCACTGATAACACTGTTCTGTGGAGTGCCCTTCCTGGTAGACCCAGCACTGATAATACTGTTCTGTGGAGTGCCCTTCCTGGTAGACCCAGCACTAATAATACTGTTCTGTGGATGGAGGGGTGACGTGCGCGGATCCTCACTGCTGGTGGGCGGAGCTCCAGAAGAGGTGAATGAGATAGGGCTCTTAAACTGGGGTCATGTGTTAAGATAGTGTTTTTCAACCTTCTTACCCTGAGGAACCCCTGGCAAAAAAAATTGAAATAATGTTCCCATCTACAGCTCATAGAACATCGCTATGATCATCGAGCTGTTGATAATAACAATCACTTTTAGAAATAGCATTAAATAGAAGAAAAACTATTAAAATGTACCTATTTTATGTGAAACTTTTGCTTTCTTTTTTTTTCAGAGATGTTCCATTTTGGGTCCAACTTGGGATACACAGAGTGTTGGGGGGGGGGCATCAGGGCAGGGTATATGGGCTCAGGAGGGCTCTCGACATAAGGGGGAAGCAGGGAACATTACATGGAAGCAGGGAACACTATGTGGGGACAGGGCACATTTTGTGGAGGCAGGGCACAGTACATGAGAGCAAGGCACATTATGTGGGAGCAGGGCACATTACATGGAGGCAGGGCACATTACATGGGACATAGCCCAGGGAACATTACATGGGACAGAGCCCAGGGCACATTACATGGGACAGGGTACATTATATGGGACAGAGCACAGGGCACATTACATGGGACAGAGCACTTTACATTGGTCAGGGCACAATTATTATTATTATATAGGATTTATATAGCGCCAGCAGTTTGCTCAGCGCTTTACAATATAAAGGGAGACAATACAGCAATAATACAGTTCAATACAAGAGGGATAGAAGGGCCCTGCTCCATGGAGCACATAATACATGGGACAGAGAACATTGTGTGGGACAGACTGTTGGGCACAACCCGGCTTCAGAGGCAGCTTTCAATAGACCTCCAATGGCGTGGTGTTCCCCCTGACCTCTCCTCCCCTCCTCTCACCCTGCCCATCGCAGATGATGTCACATACAAGCACTCAGGATGGACAGGAGGGGAGGAGGGGCCAGTGGGGAACAGCACGCTACAGCTAATAGAATCAGCCGCATCAGCTGTCAGATGCTTCCCTGCACGTATGTCCATGCAATCTACCTGTCAGCTGCCTGGACTGACAAATAGAAACCCTGTTTGAGAAACACTGCGTTAAGCAAATCTGGAGGCTGTGAGGCCCCTGTGAATGTGAGGCCTTAGGCGACTGCATAATTTGCCTAATTAAAGAGCCAACTCTGGGCACTGCTGCTTGGGGAGTCTGATAGACCACCCAAGCTCTTACCTACACCTACTGTTTGTTTTACTGAGACTTCTTTGGTGGGAGACAAATCTGCACTATTCAGCAGGAGAACTTGCCAGTGTATAAGACATGTACAACAAGCACTAAGATGATTCAACACGTTAGCGTCTTTAACACATTTATACAAGTGATTTGTCATGGAAACTACACCAATATAGCTCTAATGCTATTTTCTTTGTGAGTCTAGTCCTTTGGGAAAAAAACAAACTATCAGTAGCAACATTGCAATAATAAAATGTACTAGATTTAATTGAAACCATTACTGTTACATGACCATTATCATTGAGAATGTTTGAGTACCTTGCGATAAATCAATAACTTTGTCGAGGGTGTAACCTGTGCTAAATTGAAACTATGAGCAAAATCTATAAATAACATACTGTATATAATGTCAATATCATTAACACAGCAGTTTTTGCTTTTCTGAGTCACCCCTGTAGTTTTATTACTTGTTGATTCTGCCAGTAAATCAGTTGATTTTCCACTGCCATTAACAAAGTGACATTGCTTTAGGCTCTGATGTGTGTCAATGGGCACACACAGCACAGATAGGGAATGAGACCGCACGTGTGACACCATAGGAAATGGCTTCCTATGGTGGCACACAGAGAACAGGAGGAGCCTAGAGCTCTAGCAGGGGACCCAAAAGAGGAGGTTCGGGGCTGCTCCGTGCAATACCATTGCACAGAGAACTTAAATATAACGTATTTTATATTAGGGGAAAAAAGTGACTGCAACCACCTTAAATGTTTATTTGTAAAATAAAGAGTTTATTAAAAAAAAAAAGCAAAGCTTACATGTATAAAACATTTTAAACAAACTTAAAAAGACCCAAACCACATTGGTATTGTAATGTAATAATAAAAAAAAAATGTAGGCCTCCCTAAATCTCTTTAGGAAGAGCATAAAACCACACTGCAGGAGAACTCTTAGTCTAGCTACAGCTTGCAAAAACACTAAGAAGCCAAAATATAGGCTCAACTTTATCAGCTCACCTTTCTGACCTAGAGAGGGCCTAGAAACAGTCTCCCTCCGTTGTTCTCCAAAACCATCTGGAATTTGTCAGGAGATAACTTTAAAAGTGAAAGAGTGCTC